AGAATCATGCCACGATGTCTATCGGCGGCTGGCTGTCCTTATGGAGGAGCGTGGATCAGTTGGGTATCATACCCATATCTCGCTTATCCGGAGCCGGCTGGCCTTTGCTTTGCTGCGTGCTAACATCATGTGTCTGCGGGGGGCTCGCTCACCATTTCCCTGGCATAGGGGGATGGATGACGCCTCTCCAGATGTTCCTGTTGCCGAAGCCCGCCTTGTTGGCAACTAGCTAACACGGGTAAGCGAAGGACTAAAGGGACCGTCACTTAATTTTTGCCGACTACCCGCCAAAAAAATCTTTTCGTTTCACGTGTCAGACACGTCCGCGAGCGCGTCCGCGAGCGCGTCCGCGAGCGCGCGCGCGCCCGCGCTACCTTTCACGTCAGGCAATCTGTTCACGCCACATGGCTGGATAGCGCGTACATGCAAACATGATTGAAGACTTTCAAAATCAATTTTTTTCCAAGTCCAGGCGCTAGGCCTAGGCAGTACTAATGCCTAATGCCCAGGCAGCTGACTTTATTTTCGGAGAAACACTACTCATTGTAGTAAAAAGTAACAATGAATAGCGATATCATCTAGGAAGGATCGCTACCCTAACGCGAAGGAAAGGCCTTGCGCGGCTGCTCTACGAAGTGTTGAAGAAAGACTCATCAAAGTTAGTTGGTGGACGAACAACTCGCTGGCGCCGGAAAACTTGGCCCCCAACGATGGTGTTTGGTGAATCATCAAGCATAATGTCTTGTAGCAGTGTTTACCGAGGAAGGAGAACGCTCTAGTCGCTTCTGTTGTCCGTTTCATCCACGTTGGGCGTTAGCTGCACCGCGCCTTTTGTGTTTTAGTATTCCATGGACACACATTAGCATTCAGAGCGATTGTGGAGCCACAATTTACTTCACACAGCGTTGTATTGTCCACGAGCGCAAACTTCATTATCAGCAGTAACTGTTACTCTTCATCCTACATGTAGACTTGGAGTATACACGGCCTTGTCACGACAGCGACAGCTCTACAGAGTGTTCAAGTGAGAAAAATTAATTTCTATTGTTGGTGGACGAATAAATGGCTGGTTCCGAAAAAACGCGGCCTGCACCGATGGTGTTTGGTGGATCATCAAACAGGGTGACCAGCAGTGTTCACCGAGGAAGGAGAATGCACTCGCCACCACTCCGATTCATCCAAGTGGGCGTTAGCTGCGCCGCGCCTATTGTGTTTTAGTATTCCATGGACGCACACTAGCATTCTCAGCGATTGTGGAGCCACAACATATCTTCATGCGGCGTTGCACTGTCCAAGAGCAGAAACGTCAGCAGTGACCCATCATCATACATGTAGATTTGGAGCATACACACCATGCGCCAATGGGCCTTGGCACAACAGCGGCAGCTCTACGGAGTGTTCAAGTGAGAAACATTTGTTTCGCCTTTTGGTGGACGAACAAATCGTCGGTGCCGAAAAACGTGGCCTGCGCCGATGGTGTTTGAACCATCGAGGGCTCCGGAAGCAGCAGCTGAGCCAGATCAGCCAGTCTTGCCAACTCTCAGTTGCCGGACTCCGTGCTGCAGCTAGCAGCACTGGCACCAGCCGGAAATATATTTCCGCCGATACCCGTTACTTCCAGTTCTGTCAAGGGCATAACTGGAATCCATTGCCAGGTGATGACTTTTTACTTTATGTGTTATTTTGCTGCCGAGTTGTTCAGAACTTTTCAGCCCCGATCTGTCCATGTCTACATGTCGGCCATCCGCTAACTTCATGTGGAAGTTGGCTTTACCTACCCGTCGGGCCCAATGACTCTCCTCGCAAGGTTCCTGTCGGGCATCAACAGGTCATCATCGACACAGCGTCATCGCCTGCTGATAACCACTCAACTTCTCAGGGAGATTAGCCGGCATGTTGCCTTTCCACGGATGTGGCACCCTCATGACAAGGCCATGCTAAGGGCAAACTTGAATCATAGCATAGTGGACTCTGCAATGAACAGATTATGAAACTCCCTGCAGATTTACTACGGTCATTTCTGGTGACTGGTCTTGGGGCACCGTGGAAGCTGTGACTGGTTGCCAAGTTTTGTTTTGTGACTGATCATGGGGCATTTGTGACTACTTCGAAGCACAGCTCTGATTGATCACAGAGTCTTACTGTTGTGAATATTTATATCGATTGACAAGTCAAGCAGCCACGGGGCGCAGGCCTTGCAGCTGTGAGTATGCATACGATACATATTCACATGACTCTATTGTTTGCTGGACACTGCTGGTCCATTGTTGCAGTGTGTAAGTGAACTGCAGAACCTATTCCGTGATGAAACACCTACTCTTGAAAGACTGAATGTTTGAGCTAATAGTCTTTTACTTCACTCTCATGCTGCTCATATAATTATACCATACGCCAGAAGACCCTAAGTTAGTTCTAAGATTTTGTGGACCATGTGACCATGTGGTACTTTCACTCTACAACCAAGTCAACCTCTTCGTCAACACACAGGGTTTTCCTCAGACACAAGCGAATGGTTTACTCCACTCTGGAGAAGAACACAGTTTGCTCTCTCGAACACCAACCGCAGATAACTACGGAATGTAAGAAGTGCAACAACTGCTAGAATATTGAACTGTCGTCCACACAAAACAAATGAAGACAACTGAAAACCAAAACACATGCAACTGCCAACATGCATGTAGCGCGGGCGCGGCGAGCGCGAGCGCGAGTCGTACGCGGGCGAGCGCGAGCGCGAGTCGTACGCGCTCGCGGACGTGTCTGACACGTGAAACGAAAAGATTTTTTTGGCGGGTAGTCGGCAAAAATTAAGTGACGGTCCCTTTAGTCCTTCGCGCGTGACACACACACACACACACACACGTCACAGGTGCCTCTTCTATAACTTATAAGTAAAGATACTAGCAGCACCCGGCCAGCGTTGCCTGGCGAACGTGGCATGCGGGTAAAGCAAGTACATGAACAGCACACGTGCTCAGCACGTGGTGGTGGCTACACGATTCGCACGCTTCGCGTGCTCAGTGCTTCTGAAGTTCTGTGGCTGCTTCCGCTAGCTACACGATTCGCACGCTTCGCGTGCTCAGTGCTTCTGCGGCCGCTAGCTACACTGTTCGCACGCTTCGCGTGCTCAGGGCAGCGCTGCTCCGCAGGATGGCCTGAGCGTAACACACAGACACACGTCACAGGTGCCTCTTCTTTAATATAAGTAAAGATACAGTCAGAAAGTGCACATTGTTCAGAAGACAGTATATTGCGGGTCACCCATATTTGCCCTTAGCAGCCAGTCGGCCACTAATTTCCTGCTGGCAGTCCGCCGTATATGTCGACTACTGTCGGTCGGTCGGTACCCGTATGTCGTGTATTGCCTTCAGTCGCACATGTTGCTGCAACTAGCCAGCGAGTTTTCTCACATCACGGTAATGATGGATATACCGGATAGTGCTGCCCCTGCGTGGGCTCTGCGGCCACATGAACGAGTGGAGAGGTTTTCACAATTATTCTGGGGTCCAGTAAGTAGCTGCAACACCCCGACCGCTCTGCAAGCAACCTCTGCATGAGCAGCAAGAGATTTGGGTGTAGTGCGAGAGCCGGCATCCATTTAAGTCTGGAGGCCGTGAAGAATGATCAAACCATGATGGCAGAGATGCTGCAGTATTGGAGTGGCGCGGAAGTGGATGGATTTGATGTGGCTGCCTCAGTAGCGGTATTGCAGCAGAGGAGGCTAGCCGAGTTTTGGGCAGCGGCTAGGCATCAAGAAAAATCCGGTATCACCCACAGCGGCAATCTGACAAGTGCGATGCGGGATAGCCATTCATGTGCCGAGGGCATGTCAATTCCCTCAGATACCACCTCGGCTGAATTATCCATCAGGCAAGTGTACTTGATGATAAACAATATCTATTTTTGGCATAAGGTATTCAATTTGCATTGAATTAGTGGTTAGGCCATGCAACAAGCTTCTTACAAGCAGATGAATATGATGTAGGGGTCTGGTGGGTCGTGCAGCTTCTGTGTGAGGGTTATAGTTACTCGTAATTCTCGGTGCTTTGCCCTACGCCAAACCCATGATGTAACATCACTATGATCCATGGACATGAAAAAACACAACTATTATAAGGTATACGGGTACCTACGGAAGCATGAATAAGGGATAAGGAGCCTGAATGAAACAAACACTGAAAAGTGTGCAATAGTTGTGTAGGCGATTACCGGATATCTGGTACCCTATTCTTACCCCTTTTCCTTGTCAGTGAAGTGTATGAGAGCTCCAGTGCGGCTCAGAAGTGTGAAGGGTGTGAATGCCTTTAGGCAATGAGTGAGAGAGATAATGCCAAAGTGGCATAGTTTGGTGGGTGTGAATGCCTTCGGGCAATGAGTGAGAGAGCTAATGCCGAAGTGGCGCAGGTTGCCGAAGTGGCACAGTTTGGTGGGTGTGAATGCCTTCGGGCAAGGAGTGAGAGAGCTAATGCCGAAGTGGCACAGTTTGGTGGGTGTGAATGCCTTCGGGCAATGAGTGAGAGAGCTAATGCCGAAGTGGCACAGTTTGGTGGGTGTGAATGCCTTCGGGCAATGAGTGAGAGAGCTAATGCCGAAGTGGCACAGTTTGGTGGGTGTGAATGCCTTCGGGCAAGGAGTGAGAGAGCTAATGCCGAAGTGGCACAGTTTGGTGGGTGCGAATGCCTTCGGGCAATGAGTGAGAGAGAGAGAGAGAGAGCGCACGAGAGAGAGCGAGAGAGATTGCGAAAGCAGCACAGTTTGGCAGGTGTGAATGACTGCAGGCAATGAATGAGAGAATCATGCCTAAAAGACACTGTCGGCATGGCACTGCATTTTCGGAAACTTGGGCTAGAGAACGCCCAGATAAACCATCATTATTTTTGTAGGCAGTCTCAGAGAGTTGAGAAAGTATAACTATACTAGTATAAATGAGGTGGGGATAGAATTGGACTGGAGTGACAATGTGAATTTGCACTGTGAGAAAACTCCTGTGTGGCATGAAAGGGGGATGGTATGATCTTACCATAGTCTCCTGTGCTGAGCTCATACAAGATGGGTGAGAAATACAGTACCTCCTTTGGCCTGCAGTTGTGTGTGGTGTTTGTGCTTCGCTTCTGTAACTTGTGTGTTTTCACAGGTGGAGGCTTGGGGCACGGAGGTGCCATATCTCGTCTTAACCTTGCACTTAGTTGTGTGGTTATCGCAGTGGTCTGAAGGGCACGAAGAATAGCTGGGTTCAGGGGGCCATTTGGTACCTACCGAGTCGATGCCCTGACCATACAGTAGGGGCTTTGGCCTACATAAAGACGTTCTTGGTACAATCACATCAGCAGCTGGGCCAGCCATTCTATGGCGAAACACATACTTGCCATTTACCATGACCGTTACGTCTCTGTGACTCTATGACGTATACCTGGGCTGAGAGCTGTTTCTATAGATGCTGCGCGAGGAGGAAGTTAACGAGAGTGGTGTTCAGGAACATGGATAATGCAGTCTGCCTTGCTGGCCGAATCCATCGCTCATATTGCCAAACATTTGGAATCTAGGCAAGCGCTATGCCGCCGAACCGGAGGACACAGCTTGACAGGTAACACCGAGTATGTTGCACCCAGGCTATCCTTTTCTGTCGCCATTGCCGAGCCACCGTGCTCACAGCAGAGACTTCTGTGTGTGTTATTGTCGTGAAAGTGGACCACAAAGACGGTACGCTTTCCAACGGCCAAAGAGAGTTGGAAAGCTTGTGTCTTTGTGGGTAACTTGAACATTCGGGGCTCATGTAAAATCGCACTGATTTTGGGATTTCCCTGCAACTTTTTGCTTCAGCAAAAATGCTGTGCTTGACCGCATTCCTGTCACTTCGCAGTGGCTTTTCGTTGGTGCAGTTTCTATCCCACCCTCCCACCCCTGACTTCTGGGTATGTGTTTATCGATATAATCTTTTCGGCTTTCTTATTGGCCATGTGGCTGTGGCAGTTGCGACTGCTTTTCTTTTTTTAGTTTAAAAAACGTAGGGGTGGTGTGTGCGTCGCGGGCCTTTGTATGGTTACGTACAGCTTCAGATTTTATAGCTAGTGCCAGGGGAGTTCAATTGAATCTGCATGGGAAGAATACTACTGTATTGTGATTGAACTGAAGCTGGATGATGACCGTGTGGTGAGTGTGTGGGTTTTTTTCTTCTCAAGATACCGTCCTGGGGCAGGGATGTAGGTCCTTTAGCTTGGACGGGTGTTGTTACATTCATTGTAACATCTTGTCGTTTCTGTGTGCTTTGCTGTGCGACTAGCAGCAGTATCTTGTGCTTATTTTTCTTATCTCTATGCATCCAATTATGAAAAAAAAAAATCAGGAAGAGGATATAATATCAATAAATAAAGCCATTGCCGAGCCACCGTGCTCACAGCACACACGACGTACGTTTCGCCGTATGGTTCGTGACGGCTCATCAGGTGTGCAATTTGAAACTCGGGTATTGAGCCAATAATAAAAGTAGAAAGGAAAAGGACATATGGAAACGAGTTAAGAGTAACTCTCCACCACTGTAACTAGATACTATATACAGTCAGAAAGTGCAACAACTAGGCACAAAACTGACAGAGTACTGAGACCTTCGACGTCCTGACACCTAGCTTCAACACATCTCCGTAGCGCTAACCGACAGCCTTCCAACTTGGAAGGTTAAAGGTTATGGAAAGACCAAAGAGATATAATAATAATATTATTATATTAACTGGTTTTAAAATAATAATTATTATGATTGTATTTTTCATGGTTCCTTACAGGCTAGTACAACTCATCAACAAAAGATGCGATTGTTCAAACCATCCATACAAGGCCATGAAGCTCAGGGCCCGATAGAAGAGGCAAGGAACAATGTGGAAATCTCCGATGCGCCGACTGGTTACGATAATATGCAGGACTTGAACATTTCGCTGGGTTGTACTGCCGTGCCTATTTCATTCCCGCCTGACAGTAATATTATGCAGGAGATGGAGGAATTACCAGCCCACGCTCCAAACGCCTGGGGCACACTAGCGGTGCATGGAGACCTGGGCTTGGCTGCAGGGGATGAAGAGCTGATGGATTTGCTAGACGAATGGCTACAAGCCGAAAGTCCGGGAAGTGAAATGACTGGCCCAGCAGATGATCAAGTGCCAGTGAGCTCAACAGCTTCCAACATGACTTCTTCCGGCAGTGCTCATGCTGAGTCTGCCACTGCGGAGAAACAACAGCAGGAGCAAGGTACCGTCTCAGACCATCCGTTTCCCGGTATTCCGGGGAATGTGAATGCACATGGTTCCGATTCCACCGGGCCACCATCACTGCCAGGACCTGACCATATGCAAACTCCCCGCAATCACCAGCAAGGGATGAATGGAGGTGTTACCGTCGTGACGTCATCACTGCTTTCTACGTCACAACCAATGAAGAAGCGGCCCTTTGCGTGTGGTTATGAAGGCTGCAGTCGCCGCTTCCCACGCAAAGACGAGCTGAACCGCCACACACGTACGCATACAGGCGAAAAGCGGTTTCAATGCGAAATTTGCAATACATGGTTTTCAAGGAAGGACCATCTCACGACACACTTCCGCACACATACCGGGGAGAAGCCTTATCATTGTCCGCATTGCCCTAGGCAGTTTGCCCGGTCTGACCAAAGGCTTCGCCATAAGAAAAAAGTTCACAAATTGCTAGAGTCAAGCGAAGCATTAGGAGTGCAGCACGGACACTCACCAGGTCTCGGTGGTACGCCTTTGGCTACAAACATGGTGAGCTTGGCATCACTGCCCGCACTGAGTACAGCCAGCCAGTTCTCTGCCACAGCAACTCCGCCGGCTAGTAGTGCAGCCTCCGCTAGACCTTTTAATGGGACTGCTGTATCGATGGGCACCGCCGCCGCCGCCGCGACACAGCATCATAATTATTCCATGGCTGTCTCATCCACGGTAAACGTACGGCAGCCGCAGGAGGAACATCATTTGCAGCAGCAGCCACAAGGCCAGCAGCACCAGAACCGTCAGCATCTGGCTCCAGATGTGGTTCCAGAACCAGAGCACAGTGCTGGCATGATTGGTCAAGCGGACATTCCTCGTGGATAACTTCGGCTCAGTATCCAAAACATCGTCTAATCGCATAAGGACAACATATGCTGCGTTGTGCACTGGTCTGGACTGGCATGCTATTGCCAATGTAGTGTAAATTTAGTGTATGTGTATGTGAGAAAAGGGAGAGAGAGTGTGGGTGTATGTGGGTGTAATGGTGTGGGCATGTGTGGATTTGGCATTTAAAAGTCCCCAGCTCTATTATCATTCGCGCTGGAACTGCTGCTGCATAGCCCCAAGTCTGAAGACTTGGCAACTTTACGCCCAATCTCTCTCTTTCCCGTTGTATCGTTCCCTCACACCGGTGAAAAAATTGAAAAAACTAATGTTGTGTGGATGTGTGTGCGACCCACTCTGTTTTTCATTGCCAAGTCACCTAGGAGTGAAACATTTCTTCGTACTGAATGTAAAGCTGAGTAAATACAGGTGATCTTCTCTGCTGCTAATGTTGCTGCTAGCCTTTTTAGCGTGACTCTGTTTCCGCTGCTGTGCTAATGTTGTTGATAAAACTCAATTATTTTTGTTTGCTCCTGTTTTGGGCTTTGGATGATCCCTATATCATGATACAATACGCGTTGTTGTCATTCATTCAATTCTTCATATGAACTGTATTGCACCGTCTAGAGCCGTTTCGGTTTGTCTGGCACCTTTGTCTGGCACCTTTGAATTGACTCAGCTGTGGGTTTGTGCTCGTGCGGTACTCAGGAGTTTCACACCGTACGCCCGTGTAAAGCAAGGGTATCATGCATATAAGTCAAACTGAAAGTAACGACTCTAAAATACGAAAAACATGCAGCCATTGCAAAGACGTTTCTATCGGTTTGAATTAACCCAAATGATGGCGGAGGCAAAAAGGATAGGCAGGGCTTTGAACTTTTTGACAAGTTCTCTTGTTCGTTGTTTCGGGTGGTTTCGCTCATCACCACTACCATGTTACAGGGTGGGTCGGTTGTTTGTTTGGTTTCTAATAGCATGCCATGGTGCATAATGTCATACACTATGTCTTGAACAATCGACGTGGACTCAATAACTCAACATACATCCGGTATTATGGTGTTGAGTAATATGTGCATTCTTCCGTGTACATGTGCACAATGTCATGTACTTATAGTTTTAAATCATGTCATGTACTCTGAAGACAGTACGATTACACTTTTACGTACATGTAAAAGTTTGGTTTGTGATCAACACTGGCTCACACTCAATCACTGCTTTTCACTAGAAAAATATTTTAATTCAACGTTTCGGTTATGAAATAACCTTCATCAGGAATGAAGTGGGCCCACCGGTTAGTACATGTGTGTTTTGGAATTACCGGTAACGTTTGTACATGTACATGGTACACATGCATATGTATAATATTCAATCTCCAGACTGTTAGCTGTTTCGACCATATTACGTCTCGTCAACGCAGCTCGCAGCTACTGGCCTACCAGATCGAAATGAAGTATAACGAACGGCACAGGTTTTTAACTGGCAGAAAGGATCAAAGAGAGAGAAAGTTTTCTTTTTGCTCTAACTGCGTGTTACTGCGATCAACCCGGTGAGCTTTGCACACGGGCAGATTTATGTGACGCTGGCCAGAAATAGTGCTGCGCCAAGCCTATGCGAGGCTGAAGGAGCGTAGTACTTAAGTTCATATCAGATACGTGCAAACACAAGTCACAGATTACCACGAATCTTCATTACCAAAATGAATTCTTTTTTTTAAGAGAAGAAAACACATGAGAACGTGTTAAGCAGCAACTATCCAAGACCGTAACAAGATGATATCGAGTCAGAACGTGTGATAATAGGGCACAAAACTGACCGCCAAGTGAGACATTTTTTTGAGCGACCTGACACCTAGCTCTAACACATCTCCAGTGCGCAAACCAACAGCCTTCTGTCTGAAGTAGACAAGACGCACAGTGAGCTGTCCCTTTTTGCTAGAGTGTTCAATGAAACAAAAACAAAAAAACAAAAAACAAAAAAAATGTATCCATCCATGTTCTTGGTGTCAATGGTGTCGGATTTTTCTCTAGAACTTTGCATTAGCCTTACCGTGCAAAGAAAACGAGTCTGTGCAAAAGGTGAAACGTGCACTGTCTTCTTTCTTTGATACATGTATGCCTATATGGACAGATTGATGTCGATGAAGATTCTGGTGCCCTGCGTAGGTGGATATGTGGGCACATTCGTCACAAGAAGCACTAAGATGACTAAAATACATGTGCATGTGCATGTACATGTACACACACAACAGTGCAAAAGGCTGTGTTAGCTGTAACTGAAAAGGTGTGCAATATCTTACGGCCGATGCCCGGTGACAAACAAGGCTGTATTATTCTTTTTAGCAAAGAGTATGTCCAGGCTGTATGCACCGAGCGCACCATAGTCTGCAGTGAAAACTGTATAAGCACCTACACTGTACTTTTGTGATCTCAGCTCAAAGAGGAGCAAATCATTAGCACAGTCTCTAAAGAAATTTATTACTACCGCATTCTTTCTCCGTTCTTAACGTTCAAGCAGTAACCGCTGCATTTTGGCCGCTCAGTAACTATTAGTGCTTGCACTCCGTTTCCCACACGCGCACGCACACTTCCCCGCACGCACACTAGCACATGCATGCGTGTACTTACATACACCCATCTCGATACACACCTCTATCCGGTTGTGCACTTTCATTTCTCTGGGGTTTTTTTTCTTTTCCTTTTTTCACAACCATCACATGTAGCAGAGCTAGAAGCGGAAGGTTAGCATTTGCTGCCTTGAAAGCAAACTGTTCTATTATCATTGTTATTATTATTATTCTTTCTACAGCAAGAGAAATTCCATCTTCATAGAGTTCTAAAACTGTTACTGTGTAGTCTGCTTACTATTGGTCTAATTCTATTATCATAATTATTATTAATTATACATTATTATTATTAAATACGTACAGAATTATTCTCCTTTTTCTGCTTTTGTGCCTTTTTAAAGTTCGCTATAGACGTGTAGTTTCCCTTCATGTGTGACTTACGGGTACATATACATGATTGTATCATATTGGTTCAATATGTACTGACTATCCTTGTCTTTAGACTGATCACTAACTCTGTGTTATGCTTTCCTTTGGATTGGGGATTGCTTTGGTTGATTAGTCTACTCTTAAAATCGTGCTTGTCAGCACAAGAGGCTTTTAGACATTGCCCATCATGCAGGATGGCTGCATTACTTGTTTTTTTGGCAAGACGAACACTTTTAAACCAACCAACCAAGTCTTGATGTCAGGGTAGTGGGTTTGATCCGTGCCCCGCTTCAGGCACCTTTAATACAAATAGCTACTACTGGGTTGCTCATAACGGATTTTAAAGGCCACTTCTAAGAAGCACCGACCACAAGAAGCAGAACAACTATTTAGTGAGATCAGTAGAACATACATGTAGGCTTGTTTCCATCAGAGTGTAACCTATTACCACTGTTCGGTTGATATGCTCCCTGCCGACAGTGCACTAAGCACAGACCGCCAATTGCGAAGCATCATCTCTCACGGAAGGTGCTGAGAGTGATCTTCCCCCTATAGTCATTGCCGATAAAGCACATGAATTGCTGGACAAGGGTGCCATCTTGTTGACGACAGTGCACGATTTGTATACAGAGAAATGCACCCAACTGCTGACCCCAAGCCAGCGGCATACGTGCTCGGCAAATTGAAGTTGACCCTGGAGCACCACTTGCACGTCATTCCACCCAAGTCGCGGAAGGATGGCACATTGCTGCTACGCAAGGGATGTAATGCTGAGCAGGCACTACATATGATCCTTTCTGCAGAGCGTAAACACAAGATAAAGCAAACACCAACAAAGCTGGAAGACGTCACTTTGCCATGCTCACAGCACAATTGATAGCCAGCAACCAAATAATACAATTACACTCAAACGTCTCTTATCCGGACGCCTCAGATACGGGCACGTCTCTCTACCGGGCACCTTTAGCAGGTGCGTCCGCAATGTAGTTAAACAAGTAGGGGGCGGACCTCAGCCCGAATGGCAGTACTTTGGCATAGTAGAATTGGCCCTGCCACTGGAAACCCAACAAATGGTATGCAGTGGGTGCGACAGGGACCATTCGAAATGCATTGCGTATGTCGAGCTTCGCCATCAAGGCACTGGTACCTTGACGTTGCAGAAGCTCAATGGCATCGTCCACTGTGACATAATGTAGGGAGAACGAATCCTTGTTTATTCCATCATTGACAGACATACGATCAGGGTAAGACAGGTGGTGAATGAGGCGGAATTTCCCGTTGTTTTTGGGCACTACGCCAAGCGGAGAGCATACAAATGGGTGGAAAGGCTGGACAGAGAAAGGACCGGTCGATTCGTCACGTCGGACCCGGTCAGCAATTTGTTGTTGTACAAACTGAGCATGTTCAATGGCAGTTGGGAGGTTGCCAGAGATGATAGATACAGAAGCACCAGAGTGGCCAATGTGGAACCCGTGTTGCAGCCATTAAGGATAAAGTCAGAGAGGACACGATTAGAAATACGGGGCAAAAGAGTCATTAGGCGGGCTATGTACAGAGGCGTGGGGAGACTACTTCGCTGCGACAGGCTTGTCCGTCTGGCGGGGTCCCCGGCGACCGTCGTTGGTGCAGCGAGCGGCGGGATGACCTCGGTCGCCGCAGGTTGAGCAGACGTGCTAGCGTTCACAGGGCTGGTGTTGGCATGGGCGGCCACGGTTGAAGTTGAGGCAGATCTGGCGGGTGCTGCCCGCCCCGGCCAGAAATGGCTGCGTACTTCGGCTGGTGCTGGTGCAAGCTGGAGCATGTGGCCCTGCCAACTACTGTGGGCAACAGTCACGGCTGTGGTGCGTTGTGCAGCGCGGACATGATGGTCGGGGTGCCCGGATCAGGTGCAGGCTCCAGAGGCTTTGGTCGATTGTGTCCCAACGAGCCAAGGTTGTTGCGGCCGCTGCACGGAAGGCACGGTCATACCCCAGTACAGCTGGGGTCGCAAACTGCTGGTTGGCAGTACAGATAATGTGCTGGTACGTCACCAGCTCCTGTGCTCGGAATGGCACATGTTTCAGTGCGCAGGCCATGTAGATTGTGTAGGCTTCCGGCCAGGCAGTGAAGTCGACAATGGAGCGCTTCTTAGTCACACATAAATTGAGGGACACACGCCGGCCCTCTCCGTTGGCGGTACTGAGCTCCAAGGGCTCGGACCCTGCGCCCACATTCTCCGGGAGGAGATCCTCTAGCTCAATATATTCGCCGCGCGTGATTTTGTCGAGCAACTTACGCGGGACCGTGGGAACAATAGAGCTGGACTCACGAGTGTTCGCCATGGGCACTGCGATCGGAGGCAGCGCGGGTTGCATGAGGGAAATGTCCATGGGGCCGGAGTCGACCTGCGGCGGGTGTTTGTTGACGGCGTTGGACGCGGTTTGGACCACATCTGCCACTGAGGGGACCGCCGCCTGATCTTGGCCGTCCGGATCCTGGCGAGCTGAAATTCGCTCCTCAAGGCGCTCGACTCGAGCCAGCAGGGGGTGCAGAGCCGTCGACACGGCCGCCGTCACGGAACGTGCAGTTAGGCCAGTTGGGAGTAAGCTAGCCGGCTGGGGAACGGCGGACGGGATATCGTCC